TATGAATTTGACTACTCTAGGGATCTCATATGAATGGAATCATACTACATGTGGTCTTCTGTGTTTGGCATACTTCGCTTAGTGTAATGTTTTCAAGGTTCATCCACAATGCAGCCACAATGTCAGAATTTCCTTTCTTTTTATGGAGAATAATATTTCCTTGTATGACTCCGGTTTATTTACCCATTCATCTGTTGATGGACGCTTGAGTTTCCTTTTTGCTGTTGTGAGTAATGCTGTTATGAACATGGTTGTTCAACTGTCTGTCTGAACCCTGATTAGCTTGTGATTGGAATCACATTTAATCGGTAGATCGATTCTGGAGAACTGGCATATTTACTATATCAAGTATTCCTATTTGTGAGCATTGGATCACTCTCCATTTACTTGGGTCTTCTTTATTACCTTTCCATAAAATGTTATGATTTTTCATATATAGATCTTTCACATCTTTTGTGAGATTCCTAGTTACCTTGTAACTTTTGTAAATGGAGTCTTAAACTACACTTTTTAACTTTTTGTTGCTGGTGTATGTATGTAAATACAACTGATTTTTATACATGTTGATCTTATACTGGGAAACTTTGTAAAACCTGTTTCCAAAAATTTGGGTATAAATTCTTTCAGGTATTCTTTCAGTTCCAGAAGCTAGAAGTGGTGCCAAAGCAGTTAGACAAATGAAATCAAAAGTAGAATACTTCTAAAGAAGGAAACAACACTGTCATTATTCTCTGCTATTAGGACTCTCCATATAGAAAAACCAAAAGCTGACTTTCACCTCATTTTGTTCCAAGTTTTCTGAGACTGAACATGAGACTTCCTTGGTGGTATGGTGGATAGGAATCCACTTGCCAATGCAGGCGACACAGGTTTGATGCCTGGTCTGGGAAGATCCCACATACAGCAGAGTAACTAGGCCCATGTGACATAACTACTGACCCACAACTCCTAGGCTCACGTGCTGCAACTACTGAAGGCCATACATCGAGAGCCTGTGCCCTACAACAAGAGAAAACACCACAGTGAGAAACTTGTGCACCACAACTAGAGAGTAACCACCCGCTCTGGCAGCAATGAAGACCCAGTGCAACCAAAAGTTAAATTAATAAATAATTTAAAACGCAACTACATGGAAAAATGGAACATTTATTTAGGGTATCAAATTGGAACTCTTCATGAAATAGTTGATGTCTGTAAAAATGAATATAAAATATGTACATGAAAAAGAGATGTTACATTTGGACTTATGCAGATGCAAACTGGCTGACAGTCTGTTTTTTCCTACAAGTGAAGGTCGCTCAGTCATGTCTGACTCTTCGCAACCCCATGGACTATACAATCCATGGGATTCTCCAGGCCAGACTACTGGAATGGGTAGCCTTTCCTTTTTCCAGGCGATCTTCCAACCCAGGGATTGAACCCAGGTCTCTCAAGTTGCAGGTAGATTCTTCACCAGCTGAGCAACAAGGGTTTATGTTCTTTCTTTTTTTAAGGTTTACAAGGGTTTATGTTTTTTTCCCATTGTTGTTGTTCAGTTGCTAAGTCGTGTCCAACTCTTTGCGACCCTATAGAACACAGCATGCCAGGCTTCCCTGTCCTTCACTATCTCCCGGAGTTTCTTAAAACTCATATCCATTCAGTTGGTGGTACTAACCAACCATCTCATCTTCTGTCACCCCCTTCTCCTCCTGCCCTCAATTTTTCCCAGCATCAGGGTCTTTTCCAAAGAGTCGGCTTTTCGCATCAGGTGGCCAATGTATTGGAGTTTCAGCTTCAGCATCAGTCCTTTCTATGAGTATTCAGGGTTGATTTCCTTTAGGATTGACTGGCTTGATCTCCTCAAATACCAGGGGACTCTGAAGAGTCTTCCCAGCTCCACAACTTGAAGGCATCAATTCTTTGGTGCTCAGCCTTCTTTATGGTCCAACTTTCACTAATGGCTAACCTCAGATATGCAGATGACACCACCCTTATGACAGAAACTGAAGAACTACAGAAACTCTTGATGAAAGTGAAAGAGGAGAGTGAGAAAGTTGGCTTGAAGCTCAACATTCAGAAAACTAAGATCATGGTATCTGGTCCCATCACTTCATGGAAAATAGATGGGGAAACAGTGGAAACAGTGGCTGACTTTATTTTGGGGGGGCTCTAAAATCACTGCAGATGGTGACTGCAGCCATGAAATTAAAAGACACTTACTCCTTGGAAGGAAAGTTATGACCAACCTAGACAGCATATTAAAAAGCAGAGACATTACTTTGTCCACAAAGGTCCGTCTAGTCAAGGCTATGGTTTCTCCAGTAGTCATGTATGGATGTGAGAGTTGGACTATAAAGAAAGCTGAGCCCCGAAGAATTGATGTTTTTGAACTGTGGTGTTGGAGAAGACTCTTGAGAGTCCCTTGGACTGCAAGGAGATCCAACCAGTCCATCCTAAAGCAGATCAGTCCTGGGTGTTCACTGGAAGGACTGATGTTGAAGCTGAAACTCCAATACTTTGGCCACCTGATGTGAAGAGCTCATTTGAAAAGACCCTGATGCTGGGAAAGATTGAGGGCAGGAGGAGAAGGGGACGACAGAGGATGAGTTGGTTGCATGGCATTACCAACTCAATGGACATGAGTTTGAGTAAACTCCAGGAGTCGGTGATGGACAGGGAGGACTGGCATGCTGTAGTTCATGGGGTCACAGAGTCAGACACGACTGAGCGACTGAACTGAACTTCACTAATGGCAGAAAGTGAAGAGGAACTAAAGAGCCTATTCATGAGGGTGAATGAAAATGATAAAGCTGGCTTGAAACTCAACATTCAAAAAACTAAGATCATGGCATCTAGTCCCTTCACTTCATGGTAAATAGAAGGGGAAAAAGTGGAAGCAGTGACAGACTTTATTTTGGGGGGCTCCAAAATCACTGCAGGTGATGACTGCAGCCATGAAATTAAAAGATCCTTGCTCCTTGGAAGGAAAGCTATGACCAACCTAGACAGCATATTAAAAAGCAGAGACATCACTTTGCCAACAAAGGTCTGTATAGTCAAATCTGTGGTTTCTCCAGTTGTCTGGAATTGTATGATGTCTCACATCATACATAGATGTGAGAGTTGGACCACAAAGAAGGCTGAGCACTGAAGAACTGATGCTTTCCAACTGTGGTGCTGGAGAAGATTCTTGAAAGTCCTTTGGACTGCAAGATCAAGGACTTGATCCTAAAGGAAAAAATTCAAGGAAAAGTAAAGGAAAAAGTAAAGGAAACAGTCAATCCTAAAGAAAAGTAAAGGAAACAGTCAATCCTAAAGAAAACCAACCCTGAATACTCATTGGGTGGACTGATGCTAAAGCTGAAGCTCCAATACTTTGGCCACCTGATGCAAAGAGCCAACTCTTTGGAAAAGACCCTGATGCTGGGAAAGATTGAGGACCGGAGAAGAGGGTGGCAGAGGGTGAGATGGTTGGATAGGATTACTGGCTCAATGGACATTAATTTTTTTTATTTTTTATTTTTTTTGCAAATCCATCACAGGGGTGGAGGAACGCCCCTCAGCAGACATTTTCCTCAGGCCAGACAGGCTATGTCATCCTGTCTTTAAGGACTTAAACTTATGAGACAGCCTTTCACATGTGGGAGGCCATCTCTGATGCAGAAAAGGCTAGAAAGAGATCTCTTTGTCATCAAGCCTTTGCCAGCTCCTATATAATACATGTGGCAGAGTCAGGCCCATTTGAAAACTTAACAAATGTGCCAGAAAGAAAACCACCACAATAATGGACATGAATTTGAGCAAATTCTGGGAAACAGTGAAGGACAGGGAAGCCTGGTGTGCTGCAGTCCATGGGGTCAGAGAGTCAGACACAACTTAGCAACTGAACAATCACCTGTGGACAAACTGGAGGCCTAAACAGAGCTGGCTTTTCTCTCGAGAGGATTTCCCTTCTGCCAGGAGTGCCACCACCCTGGATCCTCCTACCTTTTCTCCCACCCAGAGCCCCAAACTCAGTCAAGTTGTCCCCCTTCCCACCTCCTATCACAGCAGGTGTAGTTCATGGCGGCTCACTGGGAGCTTTGGAGACCACCTCTGCCTTGGGAACCAGCCCAAGGACGGAATTGCTACTGGCTCCTCCCTACCTTGCAAACTTTAGTTTTTGAATCAAGTCCATTAACCTCACGCTGCACCATTTGCAGAATGAGATGAAGCCCTACTCTTATCAGGCTGCGTGGAGATCGCAGACAAGGATGGAAGTCTTCAGTGGCTGGTGCCCACTGAGAGCCCGTCCAGTCAAATGCTGTTGACATGCCCAGAGCTCTCAGGGGCCAGCCTTCTGGTCCAGAGGGTCACCTCCCAGCCCCACCCCAACAGAGAGGCCAGAGGTAAAAGAGCACAACACAAATCCTTTATTAATAGTTTATAAAACAACCAGGGGATTCAAGTGATGCCAGGGAGGCGGAAAGAACAGTGGGCCCCAGCGAGGGGCCAGGTCTCGGGCCCCGTTGGATGGGCTCCCCTTATAGAAAAGGGCAGCTCTTCCACCTGCAGCTCAGGGCTGGGCCCTGCCCGAGGCTCCCATGCCTGCAGGGAGCACAGGCAGAAGGAAGACATGGCTGATGGCTATCCCTGAGGAAGCAGTAAGATCAGGGCTCCTCCTTCCAGTCCCCAGCTCTGGGAGCAAACAGCTTGTAGGCAAGAGAGCAGGGCCCCCCTGCCTAAAGGTCTTCCTCCCTGCGTGGCCAAGTGCCAGGAGCAGCTGAGAGCCTTCTTTCAGTGGCAGAACAAGAGGCGCTGGGATGCTCACCCACTCGGAGGGGGAACCCTGGAAGGGTTATGCACCAATCTGTCAAAAGGACCATATCTGAGCTCTGAGCATCAGTCCATCCCCCAGTCCAGCGCCCAAAGGCAGCACTGAGAGAGCTGGGAGGGGTCCCAGAGCTGTGTCTGGCCCAGGCCTAGCCGCCCCTCCCCCCAGTCCAAAACGCAGCTGGACCCAGGTCTAGGGGGGATGGCACCTATCTGGCTTGCAGGTGGTTGTGGAGCTGCTCCGCCTGGCTCTTCAGGTGCTGGAATTCCTCTTGGATGAAGTCCGTCAGGGCTTTGCGCATCTCCACCTGAGGGCGAAGGACTGAGGCTGCCAGGCAGTCCTCAGGGAGCTTCACCCAGGGTGCCTGGGGAAGCCAAGGGCACCAGGACAGGCAAGGACAGCCCCAGGGAGAAACTCACTGCTGACTTGTTCTCTGCCCGCAGCCGTTCGAGCACAGGCCGGGCACTGAAGGGCTTGCCGATCAGCACGGTGATTTTCTGCAGGGAGACCAGCCGCCAGTGGGTTGACAGGAACAGGGTGCCCACAACCCCAGCGCTAAGATGCTGAGTACCCCATTGGGTCCACCCTCCAGTTTTATTTTTTATTTTATTTTTTTACAGACCCTCCCGTTTTAAAACAGAGCGGTCGGGCTCAGTGACATCCAAGAGCCCTGCCAGTCCTGGAGTCCATGCCCAAGTCGTCCCTATCCTGCCCCTTCCCTGGCTGTGGTGCCAGGAAACCACCGCCCCTTGTCTCTGCTTCATTCTGTTCCCTCTGCTGCAAGCCCAGCCCCTCCTGAATCTGGGCTTGGTGGTGCCATGTGGGAGTCACGGGGCAGAGGGCAGACAGACAGACATGATCGGCGGCCCTACCTACCTGCCCAAAGCGGGGGAAGTAGGGTGGGCTGTTAGGAAGGACGTCGTTCATTCCTGCAGCACAGCAGACAGAGATCCAGGATGCAGGCATGGGGGGTGGAGTGGGGCAGTCCGGGCACCCTGCCTCAACCACCCGGAGGAGACCCACCCCACAAGACCACCATGCCAAGCCCCTCTCCCTGGGCTGCAGCAGTGGCCCGAGAGGGAGGCTCACCGACATGCCACAGGGGCAGGATGATTGGATTGAGATGACATTCAGCAATCAGGCGACCTATTCCTGCCCGGGGGGAGAGGAAGAAACATTGGCACAAGCAGTGTTTTGGTGCCAGCCTGTGGACAGGGCCACTCCTGCCCGCCCCCCAACCCCGTTCAAAGTGGCTGCCCTGGGCCAGCTTCTCTGCCAGGCAGGCCTTGGTCTGGGCCCCTGTCCCCCTTCTGTGGCAATGATCACGATCATCTGCCCCATGTGCCCGGGTCCCACCCAGCCAGAAAGGACCAGTGGCTCTTACCCCACTTGAAGCGGAGGAACTCGGAGCTCATGTTCACTTTCCCTGTCGAGAGAGAGGATAGAGTTGTGGCTTAGGGGCCACTGGGAGGGGATAGGGGGCAGTCCCATCTAGATCCTTGAGTGGGTTGCGACCCTGCCAGCGCCACTGACCTTCTGGGAAGATGTGCACCCAGTCCCCGTGGTTGAGCTTCTCCAAAATGAAATCCATTCCCTTCTGGTAGACGCCGTCTCCTGCCAATGAGAAAGTCTCCTCCGTCAGTCTCGGTTGTCCAGGACCCCCCTCCTCTGCCTCACCCTCAGGGCCTGGTCCACGCGAACACCTCAGATGGTAAAGTGTCTGCCTGCAATGCGGGAGACCTGGGTTCGATCCCTGGGTCAGGAAGATCCCGGAGTCGGGAATATCCCTGGAGAAGGAAATGGCAACCCACTCCAGTACTCTTGCCTGGAAAATTCCATGGATGGAGGAGCCTGGCGGGCTGCAGTTCATGGGATTGCAGAGTCAGCCACAACTGAGTGACTCCCCTTACTTCCTTACAACCCACCTATGACCCCACCTTCTGCCCGTCAGTTCCAGCACAGCTGCGGCCCCTGAGGAACTCCGGCTGTGGTCAGACACCTGCAGTGTGTGCCCTCTCGGACCCCCAAACCGATTACTGTCCTCCCTGCCTCCGCTTCCACAGTTGGGCTCTTGGAGCCTTGGGATGAGCTAGTCTGGGGGCAAGCCTCCCAGTGGCTGCCGCTGGCCCAGAGGGAGTTGCAGGAGCAAAGCAAGGCTATTTGTGATCTCCAGTCTCACTGGGGCCCCAGGTTCTGCACAGCAAGCCTTTCCCCAGGGTCTCTTCCAGGCCAGTTCCCACAGGTACCCCTCAGGGGCCTCTGAGCCCCGCCTGAGTCCTCATTCTCTGCTGTCCCTCCCTCCTGCTGGCCCCTTCATCAAAGGGCGCCCCTTGAAAACTCGAGTTGCCCTTTATAAAGAATCCACCTGTAATGCGGGAGACCTGGCTTCGATCCCTGGGCCGGGAAGATCCCCTGGAGAAGGGAACGGCTTACCCACTCCAGTGTTCCGGCCTGGAGAATTCCACAGACTGTATAGTCCATGGGGTCACAAAGAGTTGGACATGACTGAGTGACTTTGACTCATAGTGTCACTGAGAGTTGGGGAAAAAGTCAAATCCACTACACGGAAAACGCTGTGGCTGAGCCATCCCCGATGCTGGCAACACTGCTTCGGAGATGCCCCGAGACTGTGACACTGGCCCCAAGTGGCCCAGCGGTCAGCAATAACCCAGACATGACTGCTGGCTCTCGACTTGAGAGTCACATGGGGACAATCTGTGCCCACACGCAGTAAAAATCTTGCTTGTCAAGCTTGTCCGGAGAGTGGACAGAGACCGAGAAAGAGGGAGGCTGAAAAAGTTGGGTAAATATCCTTATCTCATCAAGTGAGGAGTAGAGAGCCACAACACAAGGGGGTAGATTGGGGCTTCCCTGGTGGCCCAGTGGCTGAGATTCCACACCTCCACTGCAGGGGGTGTGGGTGCATTCCTGGTCAGGGAAGTAAGATCTTGCTTGCCCTGTGGAATGAACAAGAAGAATAAAACAAAGAGGGAGACAAGAACAGATGAACGGTAGGACTACCTGGGCCGATGCCCTAAGAAATGGACTTACAACCTGTTCTCTGCAAGGCCAAGTTTTTGGAAGGTGCTAGATAGGGATCCAACGGTCCCAACCCGATCCACATGGAAACAGCCCAGCAGCTACCTCAGGGGCTGGAGCTGGGGAGCAGTCACCCACTGAAGTTTCTCTGGGTGTTGTGAGTGAGAGCTGCAGGTTCCCTACTTGGGATCACACAACACGCTAGGGTTGGGCTTCAGAGGCACAGGCTCCTGCTTTACAAAAACCCACTGGTGCGAACCAGCCTTCCAGCTCACGATTGAAATTTTAAAATTCTATGCTTGGGGAGCAACCCTTCAGGATGTTTAGCTTTTACAAATGCTATTTCTACTCACTTGCATGACTTGTGCAAGATCACTTTGACACTTCATGTCCTAGCAGGAGGTGGGGAGGAAATTTTCTGGAATACAGAAGCAAAGTATACTGGGTACTTCCTTTGCTTCAATTGTTAGGCCTTTACTGCGACCAATGCATTTGACAGCTTGTCCCTTCCCGCATTCTCTCACCAGAAGGTGCTTAGGATTAAGACTGCACTTGCTGCTTTTATTGTACCCTAAAATGTAGATACAGGTCAAAAAGAAGAATGAGGCTAGAAGTGGACATGGAAGGCCTCTGAGGTCACAGAAAGGAGGGACTGAGACTCAAGACAGAGTACCCAAGCAGCATCAGCATCGCTCAGAGCAGTGCGTGATGGACACCACAGTCAACTGCCATGACACTGGGGCCTTTGCTTGTGTTTTTGGGAGATGAAGTTGCCTCCAAATGCAGCAAAAAGCGAGTGTTTCAGACAGGGGTCTCTGGGGAGTAAGTAAGTCTGCAGATCTGAGGGGTGGGCATGGCAAATTTTCAGTGGATGGTGATGGTTTAGTCACCAAGTCGTATCTGACTCTTGCAACCCCATGGACTGCAGCCCGCCAGGCTCCTCTGTCCATGGGATTCTCCGGGGAAGAACACTGGAGTGGGTTGCCATTTCCTTCTCCACAGGCTCTTCCTGACCCAGGGATTAAGCCCGGATCTGCATCGCAGGCAGATTCTTTTCCGACCGAGTTAAACCATCATCACCATTTCCACTACAAGCAATAAGGTTTCTCCGTTCAAGGTTCCCCTCGAACGCCCCCTGGTTACTTCCTCCTGACACCCCAACCTCTGAGAGAAGTGGCCCCCCTTGCTGGGCCCCTCCCCACCACTCCCGCAGCTCCGTTAGCTGTCAGTCCAGGGAAGTGGCTTCTGCAGGGTCATGGGAAGCTTCTACAATAGCCAGGAGCCCTGTTTTGCTCCCTGCTGCGCTGGGGGCTTGTGTCTCCACTGCGGTAAGGGGCTGTTCTGGTCCCTTCTCTCCCCCTCTACGCTCTCATTTCTGTGTGGCCAACTTTGTTTGCACCAGGGTTCCCAGGATCTTTTAGAGTTCCAGAATGGCACATCACATGGTCTCTGGATTGCTCCTTCCTCGGGTGACAGGGTCTCTCAACACTCTGCTGCTCGTCCCTGGTCCCATCCTCCCAGCAGCTCCCTGGCACCAGCCGTCACCTAGTGTCATCGTTGAGTTTTCTTCTCCTCGCCGCCCCCTCACCCCGCCCACGAGCAATCTATCAACAAGTCCTGGCAACTCTACCTCCAAAACACAGCTCAAAGAGCGTGGTCCCTGGCTCTCTGTGGTGACCCCCAGAGGCCCTGTCACCAGAGGAACTGTGACAGCCCCTAACCAGGCTTCTGGCCTCCACTCGACCCTGATTCTGTCCACCAGGTACACTGCAGCCTGGGGGCTCTCTCTCTCAACCACACACGAAAGCATGTCAAATTCTTAGCCGAATGTTCTAGAATCTTCACAGGCAGCCCACAACCTACATTTCTGCCTTGGTCACGTACCCTTCCAGGGTTTGCTACGTGCTTCCTGGGTCTAGGATGCCTTGCCTTTCATACTCTGCCAGGAAAAAATCCCACTTCCCCAGAGGAACAAGCAAGCTGGATTTGAATCCAGGCTTGGCCACCTCTTGCCCTGTGACCTTGGCCCCGCAGCTTTATCTCTCCAAGCCCCTTTTATTGGAGAAGGGGGATCCAAATGGCCCTGACCTTCTGAAGCTCTCAAGAGGTGCGGAGTAATCACTCCATGTCACACGGCTCGACACAGAAGCCTGTTTGTTTTCCCAAACTCACAGCCTCCGGCACATGCCACCACCATCGCTGACTGATGACACCACGTGGCCATCAATGCGTCTCTTAGCAACAGCCTCCCAAGAAGCAACTGTGGATAAAGTCTCCATGACCTCCAATGCCAGAGCCCCAGGGCACCCAGTCCTCCGGCACTCACAGGGAACTTGGTGCTCTCCAAGAAACCATTGCTCCCTCCTCCCAGATGATGGAGGTGGGCATCATGCAAGTGAGGCAACCGCCCCTGGCACCCAGGCAGCCTGTCTCACTGGAGTCCCTCAACTCCTGGTGCAGTTGAACCAGAGACACTGCCACCAGTCTCCCTGCCCCTGGAAGGGCCAGAGAAGCGTCCCCGGCACCCAACAGCTCAACAGCCCCTTGCAGAGGAGCGGCTCACCTCGGCACACAGGCACACACTTGCCCAAGCTGAAGAAGTGTGAGTGCAGCTCCTTGGTGAAGCAGATGTCTGCAGCTGTGGGGGTCCTGGAGTGGGGATGGATGCGGTCATCCCAGCTTCCCCTGCATCCTGCATCCCTGCCACCCTCCCCCCACCAGCATGCTGCCTGATGGCATCAGCAATGCAGAATGGAGGCACAGGAGGGCTAGTGGGGTCCCACCCCAGGCCCTGCCTGGACTGCTGGAGGCCACCTCCTGAGCAGGCCAGGAGGAGGGCCAATCTGGGCAGACGGGTAAGGCCTGCTGGGCCCACCGTGGGGGTCCATTTCTCCTCACCAACGCATCAACTTCAGGTTCCAGATGTGACGGAGTTTCAGGATCCCTGGAGGAGAGAAGGCTGCATGCCCCAACTGACCTTGTACCTAGGGGGCACCACTTTCTGTCACCGTTTCAGGGAATGAGGGAGAAGGACATTTCCCTACGGCCCAAAGAGCTATCTTCCAGACCCTTCGGCTGGACCCCCAAGTTCTCCCTGGCTCCTCCGTCTCCCACCCCCTATATCTTAGTAGTCACCACATCCAGTCTGCCTACCTCCCTGATATATGCTAATGTTGCCCATCCCTCCTGACTCAGCATTAAAGAATCCACTTGCCATAAAGGAAATGGGGGTTTGATCCCTGGGTGTGGAAGATCCCCTGGAAGAGGGCATGACAACCCATTCCAGTATTCTTGCCTAGAGAATCCCATGGACAAAGGAGCCTGGTGTGCTGCAGCCCATGGGGTCGCAAAGAGTCAGACAAGACTGAAGCGACTAACATGCACACACAGCACATCCTTCTAACTATTCCTCCAGTCACTGCCACCACCCTGGTCCAGGTGACTGGATGGCACTAAAACCTTCCTCCTGGTCCCTGGGATCTGCCTCTGGCACCCTATAGGCCATCTTCTGCCCAGCAGCAAGTGTGTGCTCTGAAAGACTGAATTGACCACATGGATCCCCATGAGCTCCCTGTCCTCATCCAGCAGTGGGAGCTCTGGACACCCCTGTAGCCAGCCACCTGGGTTATTAGAGCCAAGCAGCTCTGTGAAGTCAGCACAGCAGAACTTCTAGACTCCCCAGTGAGGCTGGTAAAAGGCTACAAACCCAGCCAGGCAAAGCCGGAACAAGGACACAGGTCTTCCAGCCCCTAGCCCAGAGCTTTCTTGACAGGACATGCTGTGCTCCTCAGATTTATTCCCAAGGCTCTTTAGAACCATCAACAGTTTAGAGAATGGAGGGTCCCACAGGCCTGATAGCTCAGAGTAAAGAAGCCGTCAGACCTTGCCTTGTGGTCATCTCCTCACTTCTTCCAAATTCCAGGTGCCCTCTCTAAACCATACTGCCTAGGGGAATGCTGCAGGGGCCACAAATCAAACTTTCATCCCTGGGGCAGGACACCCCAGAAACAGAAGTGTCAGGGCCGGGCAAAGAGCCCTGTGAGGAGTTTGTTCTTGTTCGGCCCTGACCCAGGTTCCCTCCTTGCCCCCCCAAGCTGAGCACGCTGGCCCATGTACCCCAGAGATGAGGATCATCCATGCACGACTGGTGATTGGAGACCGTGATGAGGGGTGTGGCTGGGCCTCGGTTCTCGATGAGATCATACAGAACCTCCTTGTTGTGGACGGTGAGGTGGTTCATGCACTCTGAGGGGAGATGGGCAGGGTCGGGATCTTGGCTTCCTTTCCCCGGGGGCCCAGGGCTCCCCCCTACCAAGCCAGCCCCTGCCAGTGCCCCGAACCCCAACTCTGGCTGGGCGTGGAGCCCCGCGGCCGACCCTGCCTCGGCTGTGGGCCCACTCACTGGTCCAGAAGCAGCTGTAGGTGCCCACCAGGCCCATGACGACGCTGCTGGCCAGGGTCCAGGTGAGCGGCGGCACCGCGGGGAACGGCCATTTCACGTGGAGGGGCATCTCCCCCCGCGACCCAGCTTCTGCCACAGCCCCCAGCGGCCCGGCGCTCCCCTTGCCCTGGGGCAAGCCTATAGGGGCCTCTCTAGGTCCTCAACCGCTCGGGATCCGGGTCACTAACAGGCCCACGGACGGGCGCCGCAGCTTGGCGCGACAGGGCACTCGACCAAGGTCACCTCGCGGGTCGGGCCTGAACCGGGCCTGGCCCCTGCCTCGCTCTCGCATCACCCACTAGCCGTCCCGGAACCAAGAAAGAGAGCGCACTCAAGAGCCAGGGAGGATGGCGGCGGTAGCCGCGAGCTCCGCGGACCCGCCGGAAAGCAAGACTGCGGTGGCGCCGGGCTCGACCGCTGACTGTCGTAAAACGCGCTCAGGCCGCTTGATGGCAGCGATGACGGGCTCAAGGGCGGCTTGGCCCCGCCACGCCGCGCCTCCGCCCCCGCTACGCCCCGGTGCAGGAGGGGCTCGAGCCCCGCCCCCTTCAGAGTCCACGTCCCTTTTGTCTACTTTGTTCGTCCTTGGAAAAGTCTCCGTGAATAACCTGCTGCCGGCACGTTTATCTGACGCCACTCAAGGTCGGGGTTGGCAGAGCCCTTTTAGCTTTTTCCCCTTTCTTTTCATTAATTTCATCTAACATGGAATTTACTTTATAGCATTTTTATTAAATAGATTATTTTATGAATGTATCATATGTAATGTTATTACACTATGTAATTTTACATAATTACCTACGTACACTGCAAAATTCAGACCTAAATTGAAGAAAGTAGGGAAAACCACTAGACCAATCAGGTAGGACCTAAATCAAATCCCTTACACTTGTACAGTGGAAGTGACAATAGATTCAGGGATTAGATCTGATAGAGTGCCTGAAGAACTATGGACGGAGGTTCGTAACATTGTACAGGAGGCAGGGATGAAGACATTCCCCCAGAAAAAGAAATGCAAAAGGCAAAATAGTTGTCTGAGAAGGCCTAACAAATAGCTGAGAAAAGAAGAGAGGCAAAAGGCAAAGGAGAAAAGGAAAGATATACCCACCTGAATGCAGAGTTCCAAAGAATATCAAGGAGAGATAAGAAAGGCTTCCTAAGTGATCAATGCAAAGGAATAGAGGAAAGCAATAGAATGGGAAAGACTAGAGATCTCTTCAAGAAAAGTAAAGATACCAAGGGAATATTTCATGCAACGATGGGCACAATAAAGGAGAGAAATGGTATGGACCTAACAAGCAGAAGATATTAAGAAGAGGTGGCAAGAATACACAGAAGAACTATACAAAAAAGATCTTAATGACCCAGATAACCACGATGGTATGATCACTCACCTAGAGCCAGGTATCCTGGAGTCTGAAGTCATGCGGGCCTTAGGAAGCATCACTGGGAACAAAGCTAACGGAGGTGATGGAATTCCAGGTGAGCTATTTCAAATCCTAAAAGATGATGCTGTGAATGTGCTGCACTCAAATTTGGAAAACTCAGCAGTGGCCACAGAACTGGAAAAGATCAGTTTTCATTCCAGTCCAAAAGAAAGGCTATGGCAAAGAATGTTCAAAAACTACTGCACAATTGCACTTATCTCACATGCTAGCAAAGTAATGCTCAAAATTCTCCAAGTGAGGCTTCAACAGTACATGAACTGAGAACTTCCAGATGTTTAGCAGGATTTAGAAAAGGGAGAGGAACCAGAGATCAAATGTCCATCTGATGGATCATACAAAAAGCAAGAGAGTTCTGGAAAAACATCTGCTTTATTGACTACACCAAAGCCTTTGACTGTGTGGATCACAACAACAAACTGTGGAAAATTCTTCAAGAGATGGAAATACCAGACCACCTGACCTGCCTCCTGAGAAATGTGTATGCACGCCAAGAAGCAACAATTAGAACTGGACATGAAACAATGGATGGGTTCCAAATTGGGAAAGGAGTATGTCAAGGCTGTATATTGTCACCCTGCTTATTTAACTTATATGCAGAGTACATCATGTGAAATACCAGGCTGGATGAAGCATAAGCTGGAATCAAGATTGCCAGGAGAAATATCAGTAACCTCAGATACGCAGATGACACCACCCTAATGGCAGAAAGTGAAGAAAAAATAAAGAACCTCTTGATAAAGGTGAAAGAAGAGAGTGAAAAAGCTGGCTTAAGGGACTTCCCTGGTGGTGTAGTGGTTGAGACTCTGCATTCACAATGCAGGGTGCCCGGGTTCAATCTCTGATCAGGGAACTAGATCCCATATACCACATGCTAAGACCCAGCACAGCCAAATAAATAAATATATTTTTTTAAAAAAGCTGGCTTAAAACTCACCATTCAAAATACTCAAATCATGGCATCCGGTCCCATCACTTCATGGCGAATAGATGGGGAAACAATGGAAACAGTGACAGACTTTATTTTCTTAGGCCCCAAAATCCCTGCAGATGGTGATTGCAGACATGAAATTAAAAGACACTTGCTCCTTGGAAGAAAAGCAATGACCAACCTAGACAGCATATTAAAAAGCAGAGACATTACTTTGCCAATAAAGATCCATCTAGTCAAAGCTGTGGTTTTTCCAGTAATCATGTATGCATGTGAGAGTTGGACTGTAAAGAAAGCTGAGCACCGAAGAATTGATGCTTTTGAACTGTGGTATTGGAGAAGACTCTTGAGAGCCCCTTGGACTGCAAGGAGATCCAACCAGTCCATCATAAAGGAAATCAGTCCTGAATATTCATTGGAAGGACTGATGCTGAAGCTGAAACTCCAGTCCTTTGGCCACCTGATGTGAAGAACTGACTCATTGGAAAAGACCTGGATGCTGGGAAAGATTGAAGGCAGGAGAAGAGAAAGACAGGAGGAGGTGGTTGGATGGCATCACCGACTCAATGGACATGAGTTTGAGCAAGCTCTGGGAGTTGGTGATGGACAGGGAGGCCTGGCACGCTGCAGTCCATGGGGTTGCAAAGAGTCAGGCATGACTGAGCTACTTAACTGAACTGAAACTACATACAATTTTATTTAATTACCATATTATAGAATTGCACTGTATGAATGTATGTTTGTAATATAATGTCATATGTGATGTTATATGCAGTGTATATATAACATACATATATGCAATGTATGCATATAACATACAATAGGAAATATATATAACATTATCATATATCATTTAGTAGTGATACATCCACAATGTTGTCAGCCATTTCCAACTCGTTCCAGACATGTTCATCACCTAAAAAGAAAGGCCTGTACTCCTTAAGCAGTATATTTTTAATTTTTATTTTTTAAAGCACAGCATGACTTCATGTATTTAAAAAACATTTCCCCACCAATTTCCTGGCGGTGCAGTGGTTAGGACTCCACACTCTCACTGCCAAGGGTGCAGGTTCTGTCCTTGGTCCGGGAACTAAGTACCTGCAAGGTGTGGCGAGGCCAAAATATTAAAAAAATGCCCAAACCTTCTGCTCATCACCACCCCCAATCCACAAGTGGGTAGGCGGGGAAGACAGCACTACAAAGCAGCCAGTGAGGACCCACCGTCGGGCCGCAGAACCCGCGCAAGTCGCCCACTTGTCCCAGCAGCGACCCCCACGGGGACCCTCCACGCGGTCTGCCCTGGGCTCCACCTACACCACGCGTTCCTAAGCCCGCTCGCCTGCGGCCATGCAGAGAACCTAGAAGTGCGCGGCCCGAAGACTTGGAGGAAAGGCTCTTGTCTTGCGGTGGGGGGGTGCGGTGGGGAGTGCCCAGGCTCACCGCGGGGCTCCCCTCGGTGCGCCAGGCGCTCCAGGTCGGGCGTCTTCGCCACCAGATTGTGCTCAGGGCCGGCTCTGAGTCACGGCTCGCCCCATGCCTCCGAGTCTCCGCCGCCTTGGCCACCGCCGGTGCCGGGTCCCTCGCGGGCGGGGAAGGCGGAGTCTGGTGGGAAGGCGGTCGGCCGGGTCAGCACTTCCTAGGCCTCCGGGCCGCCCTCCCATCCACCGCCGAGGCGGAGCCAGGGCCGCGCCCGCCCGCCGGGAAGGGTGAGGCCGGCGAACTGGCCTCGACGGGGCGGTAAGCGTATCGGCAGCGTCTTCCTCTGCTGTCTCCTTCCGTCTCTGGCCCAGGCCGGCGCTGCGATTCCGTGGGGGCTGTCGCGATCAGCCCACAGAACAGAAAGGTGTGGAGACGACCCGGTCTGCGCAGGTATGGGCGCCCATTGGCTAGAGGGGGAAGGAGAAAGTGGCCCCCAGCCTGGGAAGGCCAGCCGGGAAGGGGATTCCAAGACTGGGGCTCAGGGCTGGTGTTGGGAGACCTGACCCGCTTTGAGATGAGGCCAAAGTGTAAGTGAAGTCGCTCAGTCGTGTCCGACTCTTTGTGACCCCATGGTGGTCCATGGAATTCTCCAGGCCAGAATACTGGAGTGGGTAGCCTTTCCCTTCTCCAGGGTATCTTCCCAACCCAGGGATCAAACCCAGGTCTCCTGCATTGTGGGCGGATTCTTTCCCAGCTGAGCCACAAGGGAAGCCCATGAATACTGGAGTGGGTAGCCTATCCCTTCTCCAGGGGATCTTCCCGCTCCTGGGATCTGAACCAGGGTCTCCTGCATTGCAGGCGGATTCTTTACCAACTGAGCTATCAGGGAAGCCATGAGGGCAGGAACTCTCTAGTTCTTCTGGTCCTACCCCCTCCTGGGAGCCCCTGGCTCCAGAGCCTCCAAGCCTGCCCTTGCCTGCCCAGGGCTGCCTAAAGACCCATGGGCATCCCAGAATAGGCACTGGAGCAGGAGCCCAAACTAGCATGAGTGACTCTAGCAGGTGGCTAGAGAGAAACAGGCAGGGGGCACAGACAAGGAGAAAGTGAGCCCAGGGAGGAAGGTCACAGAGGCACCAGAGAAAAGCCAGCAGAGGGAAGTAGCCAGACTGACATGGCTGTATAAGGGTGACACCAGCAGGAAGTGGGCTTTGGTCGCAAAGAGTCGGGACATGACTGTGGCTGACTTGAATCCAGCAATTATCCTGATGATCTTAAAGATCATGTCTGGCAGCTGGAGAGAAAGAAATACACCAAGATGGTCCTCCTGGTTGCTGATGGTGGTGAAAAGGTAGAATCAACTCTAAGGTTGAACCTCGGTGTGCTGCTGGTGGGAATGGAAGATGAGGCAGCCACTGTGGAAAATAGAATGACATTCCTCAAAAAAAAAAAAAAAAGAATTACCATTTTATTGTTGTTGCTCAGTCATGTTCGACTCTTTGCGATCCTATGGACTGCAGCACACTAGGCTTCCCTGTCCTTCACCATCTCCCAGAGCTTGCTCAAACAAACTCATGTCTGTTGAGTCAGTGATGCCATCCAACCATCTCATCCTCCGTTGTCCCCTTCTCCTCCTGCCTTCAAGCTTTCTCAGCATCAGGGACTTTTCCAGTGAGTCGGCTTTTTGCATGTGGTGGCCAAAGTATTGGAGCTTCAGTTTCAGCATCAGTCCTTCCAATGAATATTTAGAACTGATTTCCTTAAGGATTGACTGGTTTGATCTCCTTGCCGTCAAAGGGACTCTCAAGAATCTTCCCCGGCACCACAGTTTGAAAGCATCAATTCTTCAGCGCTTAACCTTCTTTATGGTTCAACTCTCACATTGGTACATGACTACTCAAAAAACCATAGCTTTGAGTAGACTGACCTTTGCTGGCAAGGTAATGTCTCTGCTTTTTAATATGCTGTCTAGGTTGGCCTTAGCTTTTCTTCCAAGGAGCAAGTGTCTTTGAATTTTATGGGGCAGTCACCATCTGCAGTGATTTTGGAGCCCAAGAAAAGAAAGTCTGTCACCATTTCCATTGTTTCCCCATCTTTTCGCCATGAAGTCATGGGACTGGACGTCATGATCTTAATTTTTTGAATGCTGAGTTTTAAGCCATCTTTTCACTCTCCTCTTTCACTTTCATCAAGAGGCTCTTTAGTTCCTCTTCACTTTCTGCCATTAGAGTGGTGTCATCTGCGTATCTGAGGATATTGATATTTCTCCTGGCAATCTTGATTCCAGCTTGTGCTTCATCCAGCCCAGCATTTTGTATGATGCACTCTGCATATAAGTTAAATAAGCAGGGTGACAATATACAGCCTTGCTGTACTCCTTTCCTAATCTGGAACCAGTCCATTGTTCCATACCCAGTTCTAACGGTTGCTTCTTGACCTGCATACAGATTTTTCAGGAGGCAGGTAAGGTGGTCTGGTATTCTCATCTCTTTAAGAATTCTCCAAAATAAGAATTTTCCACAGTTTGTTGTGATCCACACAGTCACAGGCTTTAGCGTAGTCAATGAATCAGGAGTAGATGTTTTTTCTCAAATTCTCCTGCTTTTTCTATGACCCAATGGATGTTGACAATTTGATCTCTGGTTCCTCTGCCTTTTCTAAATCCAGCTTGTATATCTGTAAGTTCTCAGTTCATGTACTGTTGAAGCCTAGTTTGGATAATTTTGAGCATGACCTTGCTAGCATGACAAATGAGTGCAATTTTGTGGTAGTTTGCACATTCTTTGGTATTGCCTTTCTTTGGGATTGGAATGAAAACTGAAAACCGAACTCTTCTGGTCTTGTGGCCACTACTGAGTTTTCCAAATTTATTGGCATTTTGAGTGCAGCACTTTCACAGCATCATCTTTTAGGATTTGAAATAGCTCACCAGGAATTCCATAACCTCCACTAGCTTTGTTTGTAGTGATGCTTCCTAAAGCCCACTTGACTTTGGACTCCAGGATGTCTGGCTGTAGGTGAGTGATCATACCATTGTGGTTATCTGGGCCTTTAAGATCTTTTTTGTATAGTTTTTCTGTGTATTCTTGCCACCTCTTCTTAATATCTTCTGCTTCTGTTAGGTTCATACTGTTTCTGTCCTTTATTGTGCCCATCTTTGCAGATGTTCCCTTGGTATCTCTAATTTTCTTGAAGAGACCTCTAGTCTTTCCCATTCTGTTTTTTTCCTCTATATCTTTGCAGTGATCACTGAGGAAGGCTTTCTTATCTCTCCTTGCTATTCTTTGGAACTCTGCATTCAGATGGGAATATTTTTCCTTTTCTCCTTTGCCTTTCACTTCTCTTCTTTTCACAGCTATTTGTAAGGCCTCCTCAGACAACCATTTTGCCTTTTCGCATTTCTTTTTCTTGGGGATGGTTTTGATCATTGTCTCTTGTACAGTGTTACAAACCCCCGTCCATAGTTCTTCAGGCACTCTATCAGATCTAATCCCTTGAATCTACATGATCCAGCAGTTTCACTTCTGGGTACTTAATGAAGAGGACTGAAAGTAGGAGCTTGAAGAGATGTTTGTAGATTCATGTTCACAGCAGCATTATTGACAGTAGCCAAAAGGTAGAAGCAACCCAGTGTCTATAGATAGGTGAATAGATAAAATGTGGTCCATCCATCCTGTAGAATGTTATTTAGAATTTCAAAACAGCATTCTGAGACCTGCTACATTGTGGATGTAATGAGGACAGTATGGTCAGTGAAATCAGTCACAGACAGCTACTGTATGACTCCACTTGCATGAGGTGCCTAGAGGAACCAGATTCCTAGAGACAGAAAGTAAGGATGGTGGGGGCCACAGGCTGGGGGAGGGAAGGGGGGTTATTGTCTAATGGGGACAGAGTTTCAGTTTGGGAAGATGATGAAGTTCTGGGGATGGATGGTGGGGATGGTTGCACAACAAGGTGAAGGTGCTTCACGCCACTGAACTGTGCAGTTAAAAATGGTTCAGATGGTAAACTCGATGCTATGTGTATTTGATCGCAATGAAAAAGAACAAGACTGAAAAAGAGCTTCCAACATACATACTGATGTTGGAAGGTATCCACAAGGAAGAAAGGTAGGACATGTGTGATGGTGGCAGCATGGGGAAACTGGTTCTGGGTAGCAGGATGAGCATCACTTTCTCTGTTGCATATTACCATGTCCTTCTGGAACTAGAACTGTGCGCAACTGGGACCTGAACCTGGGGCAACCTGGATTCCTCTGGAGGGTTCCAGAAGCCCATACACAGCCATGCTCTGCTCCTGCTCCTCCTCCTGGCCAGTGGGGCTGAGACCTTTCACATCTGTGCCTTCAATGCGCAGAGGCTGACACTTGCCAAGATGGCCAGGGAACCTGTGCTTGATACCTTAGTGAAGGTCAGTTCATCCCTGCAGGGAAGCCGGACCCCTGAGGACCATGACCCAAAGCCCCTAGCCCTGTCTGACCAGGGGCATGTCCCAGAGAAGAGGGGGACATCAGGAGACATGGTGTGGCAATGTGGAACAGTACCTTCCTTCCCTGTCATTGGCCTCAGTCTCCTCCTCCGTGAAATGGGTGCAGTGTTGATGGCGATAGCATTCCATCTTCTCCCAGGGCTTTTATAGCCTCATGGCTCTCTTGGGGCTGCAGCCAGCATGTTATGACACTCATGGCCACACCACTTCCCGGTCCCCAGAGAGACCACCCTTCTCCCTGGGCAGCTGGCCCTGAGCGGGACTAGCCTTCCTGGTTTCCTGCAGATCCTGGCTCGCTGTGACATCATGGTGCTGCAGGAGGTGGTGGACTCTTCTGACAGTGCCATCCCCCTCTTGCTTCGAGACCTCAATCGGTGAGGAGGGCTCTGTGGGTCTTAAGGGAGGCCCCCCCCCACCAAGAGCCTCAGGGTTGCTGACCCAAACTCCCCTTTCCTGGCAGATTTGGTGACTCCGGGCCCTACGCCTCCCACAGCAGCCGCCTGCTGGGGCGCAGCACATACAAGGAGAAGTACGTGTATATCTACCGGTGAGCACAGACAGAGACTGAAGCGGCCTGGATGCTTGGTGCCGTGTAGTAGCCCCAAGGGTGGCCCTCATCTTCACATCGTACTTCTCATCAGAGGTGTTATCCCAGGGTCTTCCCGTCCTCTAGCCCAGACAGCTTTGGTGCCCATGTTTCCCTCCAGCAGGATGCCTTCCTTCCCCAAGCATAGATGTGGGCACCCCATGCCGCCCCCCTGTGGAAGCCACTGGGGCTCAGGGCAAGGGTGGCCCCCTCTTTGGGAGTGACTTGTTGCAGCTCCTGGGAAGAGACTCCCTGGGCACCTGTCTTGAGTCCTGGGCAGACGCAGTTTCTGGAAACAGCCCTCAATCCCTGGGAGGACAGCCTGGGGGTGTCAGGATTGAGAGGGCAAGAGTGGCAGTCAGGGATGGAGACCTGCTCCTCTATATAGATGAAATTATATAGTATCTAGAACTCACTCCAAAATGATGGGGGGACAGAGCCCTGCCCATACACCAGTCCCACTCCTAACCATCTCAGAGTGGAAATTGATCGGAGTGTCCATCAGTCGATGAACAGGTAAATGAAAGGTGGTCTCTACACACAATGGAGTATCATTCGGCCTAAGAAGGGAGGAAGTCTCAGCCAGGCTGCAGCCCGGATGAAGCTGGGACACACGTGCTAAGGGAAAGAACCAGTCACAGAACACTACGTATTATTTGATTCCATTCGCATGATGTGTTCAGCAGAGATGGAAAACAGATCAGTGGCTGAAGGGGAGGGGAAAGGACACTGCTCATGAGTGATGCTTCTTTGGCGTGCTAAGACTATTCTGAAATTGATTGTGGTGATGGTTGCACAACTTTGTGTGTTGCCACTGAACTGTGCATGTTAGACAAGGTGCTTTTATAGTAAGTGAATTCTAGCTCAATCTAAAAGAAGTTCTAGAAAGAAGGGCTGGAAGGCTGTGCTTCCATGAAATAGAGCTGCTGGTGGTGGGTCCCCCTCCCTGAGTACCAGTTCTGATGCCGGCACTTGCAAACCAAGAGCAGTGACACGGGGCCACTGCTTCTTGTCCCTGGTCCACCAGGTCACATGAGGCAGAGGTTCGGGACTCCTACGTGTACAAGGATCAGGATGACCTCTTTATCCGGGAGCCCTTTGTGTGCTGGTTCTCTTTACACAGCAAGGGTAAGAGGAGGGGGTAGAACGGTGGTCCCACTATGGGGGAGCAGGAAGCGGGGTCTGGAGGGTTCTGCTGGGGGGGCGGGGGGGTGGTCGGTCATCTGGCAGGGACCGGGCTGGGGAGGGCCAGGAGTGGCTGGGAGCCGTGTCCCTGGGATCTTGCAGTTCTTCCCAGCCTGGTGCTGGTCCCACTGCACACCACTCCGAAGGCCGTGGAGACAGAGCTGAATGCCCTGTATGACGTGTTTCTGGATGCTTCCAGGCGCTGGCAGACCAAGGTAAGGCTGGGCCGATTCTATGGAGGGAGGAGGGCCAGGGCAGCTGGGTGGTCGGGCCCAATGGCTGCCTGCATCTCCAGGATGTGATCCTGCTTGGGGACTTCAATGCTGACTGTGCGTCGCTGACCAAAAAGCGCCTGGATGACCTAGTCCTTCGGACTCAGGCCGGCTTCCACTGGGCTATCGCTGACGGCGTGGACACTACGGTGCGGGCTAGCACCCACTGCACCTATGACCGCATCGTGCTCCATGGGGAGCACCTCAAGAGCCTGCTGCGTGGTGCGGCCTCCTTCGACTTTCCCCAGAGCTTTGGGCTCACTGAGCAGGAGGTAAAGCAGTGGTGAGGCCACAGTGGGCTCCCCAGGAAGCCCCTCGGGCCTGAGACTGATGCTTTGTCTCCCCCCTCCCTGCCCGCCCCCAGGCCCTCAACATCAGTGATCACTACCCTGTGGAGGTGGACCTGGCGCTGAGCCGGGCAGCACATGGGGTCCAGCCCCCTGGCCTGGCCACTCTGTGGCTGTCACTGCTGCTGCCCCTCCAGCTGGGCCTGGTGGCCTGAAGCCACCGCGTACCTGCTGCCCCAATGTGAGGACTGTCCTGTCTTCTGGACTCAAAGCCCTGCCCTGTTCCTAGCCTGCCCTGGTGCCACCCCTCTGTGTGCCTTCGCTTTGGGTGTGTCCTCTGGTCGGGCCTGTGCCTGCCTGTCATCAGAAGGTGGAAAAGGCAGGTGGGGCCCTGGGGCTGGACCCATGCCACTTGTCCCCAGGGTAGTGTCAAGAATGACAATAGGCTGGGGTAGGGGGTTAGGGGCTCAGGAGAGGTGATCTTGGCTCAAGGGCAGGGCTCAGAGAAGGGAATCGCAACAGATCTAAGGATTTTATCCCGAGAAAACCATCCACTCCAAGAATAGAAAGCCAGATGACACAGACATTACATGTGTGTAGCAGATGTGCCAAAAGGTCATCTTTAACATACACAAGACTCCTAGGAAACAGTATTAAGACCCCAGGAGATACAAAGATAGAGATCAGCAGTTTATACACACACACACACAAACTAGAAAACAACAGGAGATACAAGGGTAGAGATCAGCAGTTTACAGACACACACACATAAGAAAACAGCAAGTGGTCAAACTCATTGTAATTTAACTAGATGCCGTAACACCTCTGGCCAAATCCATGTTCAGAACCACAATGCAGTCTGGCCCCTACCACTCAGGGTGTGGTCAAGCACTGCCTAGAAGAGGCTGGTCACCAAGGCTATAGACAGACACAAACTATCTATAGAAACCAGTTATCATGTAACCATTATACTTTGCAAATGTGCAGTCCTATGGGGGGGAGGTAAAAGGACACACAGCAAAAGTTAATAGCCCCCTTTAGTGTGTTGTCAGCACAGAACTCTTCCCCACCTCCCTTTTCCAGAAAACAGACCTCATTAAAAATCTGGACATCAGATCCATCATACTGTGAACTATCTGATTTAGAAACATCTACTTGAGGTACAAGGGTGGCTCAGCTAGTCAAGAATATGCTTGCAATGCGGGAGACCTAGGTTCCATCCCTGGGTTGGGAAGATCCCCTGGAGGAGGGCATGGCAACCCCCTCCAGTATTCTTGCCTGGGAGATCCATGGACACAGGAGTCTGGCAGGCTACAGCCTCCAAAGTCACAAGAGTCAGACTCAATTTAGAGACTAAACATTTCTACCATAGCAACTTGATGTCAGGGGTGGTGGACTAGGCTTAGGATGGGGGAGGGCAACAAGGTTTCTCAACAATTCTAAAGACAGGAAAAGGTGGTTAGGCACATGACAGATGTTTACTCTAGGGCTAACTGGATGACCCCCCACCTCCAGGGCTGTCTGGTGAGGTTCCACAGCAGCCTAAGGCCAACATTAGACCACAAGCCCTTTTCCATCATCCAGGGCGTGTGCTTCAGTGTTCCACATACAGGTTGGGACTTCAGAACTGACTGCCTGGGGTCAAGGCATGTACCTCACTTGCCTTACTGTCAACTGGCCAGCTTGTCAGCCTTCTTCTGAAATGACAGCAACCCTTGGGGCTTCCAGAGGTTCCCCACCCACCATGAATTCAGATGCAAAGACAGATGGACAGGAAATAGCATTTATTGGTGAGCGTGATTAAGGAAGGAACAGAGCTGATGCTCATGAGTGCAGGGCCCGCCATTTGTCCAGGGGACCACGATTAGGGATGTACTTGACCCCACAGCCGTCCGGGATGAGTCGCTTTTCTGCCACCATGTTCTCAAATTCATCCGCATTGAACTTGGTAAATCCCCACTTCTTGGAGATGTGGATCTAGAGAGAGAGAGAAACAACTGAATCATGGGCCCTGAGGCCAGGAGCAGAGAAAGGGGAGATCAACGCTGCAATGTTCCTTACCTTCTGACGGCCAGGGAACTTGAATTTGGCTCGGCGGAGGGCTTCAATCACATGCTCCTTGTTCTGCAGCTTGGTGCGGATGGACATTATGACCTGGCCAATGTGGACCCTGGCCACTGTGCCCTGGGGCTTTCCAAAGGCACCGCGCATACCTGTCTGGAGTCTAGATTGAGAAACAGCAGGCCAGTCATGAATGCCCACTAGGAAGAGTTGTCTCCAAGGTCCCTTAGGGCTACCTGTACAGGCAACAGGTTGCATACACTACCAAGGAGGCTGCTGTTTGCAGCCATTGCACACTGGGCCCCCATGGGGAAAAGAGCACAGTCGGCTTAATTGGCTGCAAAGGACAGAGAACTGAAAAACAGACTAGCTAGAGTCCCTGCAAGGTGCCATTGGACTCCTCTGAAAGCCAACCGATCTATGACCACCCCAGCAACCTGCTTACTTGCAGGTTATGTCATCAGGTGCAAAGAGGAGCTATTCCCCCAGAAGCACCTCGCAATGTTGCCCAGAGCCATGATGCCTTTTGAGCTTCTTTGTGGGACTCTGGGTTGTTCAATGTCCACTGAGGCCCACTTGCTAGCACTTTGGCCCGGCTTTGCTGTGGGTCAATCTCTGTGGGGCCACCTCTCTGCCCTGGTTGATGAAAATCATCAAGCCCAAAGTAGAGGTCTCAGGATGCAGCTCACCTATCAGCTCCAGCGCAAGACAACATCTTGTTGATGCGGATGACATGGAAGGGGTGGAGCCGCACTCGGATGTGAAAACCATCTTTGCCACAGCTTTTCACCATGTACTTGTTGGCACAAATACGGGCAGCCTCCAGGGCTATGGGGAAGACAAAATGCCACAGAAGCATTTACCATGACTCTCTGTCTTGGTGGGATGAGTTTAGCAAACCGGCTAATGATTGGGCACTTGTGATTAATAAGCTGATCATTTCAGTGCAGTGAGTTCCAGGTTTGGCTGGGGGGAAGGGCACATACAAGGAACCGAGCAACACTAACAAGGAAGCCTGCCTCACCTTCAGAGGAGAGCTGCTCATACTCATCTGACACCATGTGGCCACAGAGTGGGAACTCATCCACTTTGGCCTTCTTACGCCCCAAGTCGAAGATGCGGATCTTAGCATCTGGAAAAAAAAAAGACAAGACAACCTTGCTTAGTGTGGGAGTCCCGTAAGAAACTAGGTCATCCAAACCTGTTTGGAAGCTTTGTCCCTACTTACCAGGGACACCTCGGCAGAAGCGGGACTTTGGGTACGGCTTGTTCTTACAATACCGGTAACTGCAGGGAGGAGGACCCAGATTAGAGAGGATTCATAAACGAGCTCTACAACATGCACGTTGAAAATTTCACACATGTTAATCTCCAAGCTTGGTCTCCTTTACAGGAAATGGGCGCTAAAGCAAGTCACCCATGACAGGAGATTAAAAAATAAAATACCATCCTCAATCCTGTTGTTTTAAACGTCATATAAGGCTAACATTCTGAAATGCACTTTCTCGGTTTAAATAGAAAATTGCAGTTCAAGCCATCCACCTAAATGGACCTTGGAGCACGTGGCATTAAGTTCGCCTCCAAGCAATGTGAAGGGCTCCCGGCGCCCCCTGCAGGGCCGAGGCGGCTGAAACCACTTTTCTGGGACTGCCGTTGGCATCCGAGGCGCCCACATCGCACGTCGCCTGGAAATAAGATGGGAATGGTACACAGAGGCCCCGAGAGGAAACTAAGCCGACTAATTTTCAAGTCCAGAAGGCGGGATGCAAGGTAGACATCGTGTGTACCCCTACAATGGGGCCATCGTATGCAAAATTGGGTCAATCCACCGCTAAAACAAAATGGGGGAAGACCTCAAGTGACCTGGAATGTCTCAGAGAATACGCAGAGTCCGTCCCCAGGACAGAAAAGCCGCACCAGGGAGACCCCACCCCACTGTTACTTTTAAAGGTTAAATGGCTGTCCTCTCGCTTCCCAGCAGTGAAAAAGCATGGAGGAGCACTCACCACCGGGCGGGGCGGCGGCCCATGGCGACACCAGGATCTTCAGTGGCTACAATGAAACAAAGTCGGAAGAGAAGTCGAACACAGGTATTAAACTAGAAGAAATGGCAAGGGCACAGCCACACCCAGAGACCGCGACTACTCACCGTGCCGAAGGGAAAGAGGCGCTCCCACCCCTGCGCAGGTCTTATATAGGCAGCCTATCTTCACGCGTAGGAACCATAGAGTCCAGGCGAGGACGCATAGACGCTCTATCAGACTTCCGGACCATAGATGCAGCGAAGCTCTGCGCCTGCGTGCGGTCGGAGCTGAGCACATGCGCAGACCGAGAAGGCGGCTGGGCTCCCGACCGCGGGAGGCCAGCTAGCGAATGGGGCTTCGCCACATCGGCGCGAGAACTCAGCTTCCGGCTGGCCATCTTGGGCGTAGAGCTCTTGCCCGAGGCTTTGCCGTAACTGTGAAAGACGTTCTGTTCCTAGAGTTGAAAGAAGTACTCTCAAGTGGGGGATCGCGGCGGCCACGTGCGTGTTCCCGGGCATCGCGGAGCCTGGGACAAGCCCTCTCCGCCTTCCCCAGCGCCCCAGAGCTCGGCAGGGACGCGCCCGGCTGGAGGCTCAGCCTGCATTCCTTTGTCGACCGGGATGCCGAGGGGGAAGCCCGCCCCTGTCTCAGTCCCCCCAAAGAGTCTTGAACCCACTTGTCTGTGAGCAGTACCCATGTCCCCCTTCTCTGAAGACCCAGGGCGGGGAGGGGGAGCAGCGCCAACCCCAGGTGGTCTGCGCCTTCCCGCGAGAAAGGCCAAGGAAGAGACGCCACCAAGATCCAGGGATCAGGAGACCCCACTCGAGCCCCTTTGGGCCTACCCTGTCCCTTGCAAGAAATGAGACGTTGTTCTCCACAGGGTGCTTTGGAGAAGGGGAAAGTAAGCTGGTGATCCCCCTCAGATGGCAAAGGAACACTGTCAGTCCTGGGCTGCGCCCCAGTCCTGGCCTCTGAGAGCTGCCTTAACCGGTACTCCTGGGAGATTCCACACTCCCAGGGCCCAGAATCTGGTACTCAACGCTCCATGCCCCCCCAAAACACACACACACCCGCGATGCGGTATTTTCTGTTCCCTGCCCACTGAATTCCAGCACCTCCTAAGTGTGCCTTTGAAATGTTTACAGATAAAGCAAGGATCCTTCCCCCACCAACCCAACTATAGTATCCAGAGAAGTGTGCAGAACTAATGTTCCTACCACCAGGGATCTAAACGTCTGCCAGAGGGGCCCAGCCTTCTAGAGGTGAGGACCACAGGAAGGTAAGGAAGTTTTGAAGGCATCCCCATGTCGCTTGACAGACGTGACGCACCTCTTCTCCAGGACGGCCTGTCACTTTAGTGCATGGGTCCTCTAGGAAGGCGTGGGAAGATTTGCTGTGTGCACTTCCAGCTGTGGCACGGGGTCTTTCTTAGGGAACATGATCTCTCATTCCATCCAGAGGCCTTACCTCTGGAAATGGGGTGAGATGTGACTATCCGTGGGGGCAACTCAACTCAGGTTTTTGGCTCTGAGAACTAGAACATTTAGGGTTTTATAGTATACATCAGGCAGAGCTGGATCAGCTGTTGATACTGTTCACTAACTCATGTCTGAATCTTTGCAAACCTATGGGATGCAGCTTGCCAGGCTCCTCTGTCCTCCACTGTCTCCCAGAGTTTGCTCAAACTCATGTTCACTGAGTCAGTGATGCTATCCAACCATCTCATTTTCTGTCACCCACTTCTCCTGCCCTCAGTTTTTCCAACATCAGGGTCTTTTCTAGTGAGTTGGCTCTTCACATCAGGAGAAAGGATTGGAACTTCAGTTTCAGCATCACTCTTTCCAATGAATATTCAGGAGTGATTTCCTTTAGGATTGACCTTTTGGGTCTCCTTGGAGTCCAAGGAACACTCAAGAGTCTTCTCCAGCACCACAGTTCCAAAGCAACAATTCTTTGGTGCTCAGCCTTCTTTATGGTCCACTCTCACATCCATACATGACTACTGGAAAAACCATAGCTTTGACAATATGGACTTTTGTCGCAAAGTGATGTCTTTGCTTTTTAATGTGCTGTCTAGGTTTGTCATAGCTTCCTTTCCAAGAAGCAAAGGTCTTTTAATTTCATGGCTGCAGTCACTGTCTGCAGTGATATAGAGCCCAAGAAAATAAAGTCTGTCACTATTTCCAATGTATCACATCTATTTGCCATGAAGTGATGGTACTGGATACCATTAACTTTTTTTTTTTTTACTTTTTTTAAACTGTTTTTTGAATGATGAGTTTTAAGCCAGCTTTTTCACTCTCCTCTTTCACATTCACAAAGAGGCTCTTTAGTTCCTCTTGACTTTCTGACGTAAGGGTGAGTAGTGTCATCTGCATATCTGAAGTTATTGATATTTCTCACTGCAATCTTAATTCCAGCTTTTGCTTCACCCAGCTGGGCATTTCACATGAAGTACTCTGCATAGAAGTTAAATAAGCAGGGTGACAATATATAGCCTTGACGTACTCCTTTCCCAATTTGGAAGCAGTCTGTTTTTCCATGTCTGGTTCTAACTGTTGCTTCTTGACTGGCATGCAAATTTCTCAGGAGGCAGGTAAGGTGATCTGGTATTCCCATCTCTTTAACAATTTTATACAATTTGTTGTGATCCACACAAAAGCTTTAGCATAGGCAATAAAGCAGAAGTAGATGTTTTTCTGGAATTCACTTGGTTTTTCTATGATCCAACAGATGTTCGCAATTTGATCTCTGGTTCCTCTGCTGTTTCTAAATCCAGCTTGAACATCTGGAAGTTTTTGGTTCACATGCTGTTGAAGCCTAGCTTGGAGAATTTTGAGCATTACTTTGCTAGTGTGTGAGATGAATGAAATTGTGTGGTAGGTTGAAGATTCTTTGGCATTGCCTTTCTTTGGCACTGGAGTGAAAACTGATCTTTAGCAGTGCTGCGGCCACTGCTAAGTTTTCCACATTTGCTGACATATTGAATGCAATACTTTCACAGCATCATCTTTTAGGACTTGAAATAGCTCAGCTGGAATTCCATCACCTCCACTAGCTTTCTTCATAGTGATGCTTCCTAAGGCCCACTTCACTTTACATTCCAGGATGTCTGGCTCTAGGTGAGTGATTGCATTATTGTGCTTATCTGAGTCATTAAGGCCTGTTTTGTATAGTTCTTCTGTGTATTCCTGCTACCACTTCTTTTTTTTTTTGTCAATTAGTGTCTTTATTTATTTATTTTTTTTATTAGTTGGAGGCTAATTACTTTACATCATTGCAGTGGTTTTTGCCATACATTGAAATGAATTAGCCATGGATTTACATGTATTCCCCATCCCGGTCCCCCCTCCCACCTCCCTCTCCACCTGATCCCTCTGGGTCTTCCCAGTGCACCAGGCCCGAGCACTTGTCTCATGCACCCAACCTGGGCTGGTGATCTGTTTCACCCTAGATAATATACATGTTTCGATGCTGTTCTCTTGAAACATCCCACCCTCGCCTTCTCCCAGAGTCCACAAGTCTGTTCTATACATCTGAGTCTCTTTTTCTGTTTTGCATATAGGGTTATCGTTACCATCTTTCTAAATTCCATATATATGTGTTAGTATACTGTAATGGTCTTTATCTTTCTGGCTTACTTCACTCTGTATAATGGGCTCCAATTTCATCCATCTCATTAGAACTGATTCAAATGAATTCTTTTTAATGGCTGAGTAATATTCCATGGTGTATATGTACTACAGCTTCCTCATCCATTCGTCTGCTGATGGGCATCTAGGTTGCTTCCATGTCCTGGCTATTATAAACAGTGCTGCGATGAACATTGGGGTGCACGTGTCTCTTTCAGATCTGGTTTCCTCGGTGTGTATGCCCAGAAGTGGGATTGCTGGGTCATATCTGCCACCACTTCTTAACGTCTTCTGCTTCTGTTGGGTCCGTACCACCTCTGTCCTTTATTGTGCCCACCGTTGCATGATGTGTTCCCTTGGTATCTTTGATTTTCTTGAAGAGATCTCTAGATTTTCCTGTTCTATTGTTTTCTCTGAATTTCTTTGCATTGATCACTGAGGAAGGCTTTCTTATCTCTCCTTGCTGTTCTTTGGAACTCTGCATTCAGATGGGTTTATCTTTCCTTTTCTACTTTGCCTTTTGCTTCTCTTCTTTTCACAACTATTTATAAGGCCTCCTCAGACAACTGTTTTGCCTTTGTGCATTTCTTTTTCTTGGGGATGGTCTTGATCGCCACCTCCTGGACAATGTCCCGAACCTCCGTCCATAGTTCTTCAGGCAGTCTGTCTATCAGATCTAATCCCTTGAATCTGTTTGTCACTTCCATTGTATAATCATAAGATTTTATTTTCGTCATACCTGAACGGTCTAGTGGTTTTCCCTACTTCCTTCAATTTAAGTCTGAATTTTGCAATAAGGAGTTTGTGATCTGAGCCACAGTCAGCTCTGGGCTTGTTTCTGCTGACTGTATAGAGCGTCTCCATCTTTAGCTGCAAAAATATAATCAGTCTGGTTTCCATTTTGACCATCTGATGATATCCATGTGTAGAATCGTCTCTGGTGTTGTTGGAAGAGGGTGTTTGCTATGACTAGTGCATTCTCTTGGAAAAAATATATACTTAATCTGATTTCAGTATTGACCATCTGGAGCAGGGTGCCCAACTATTTCTTCCCTAGAGGCGCTGTGGTCTTTCAGAACTTTTCAGGGATACTAATGTTCCTGGTCCAATGGCTGTGTCAGTGCCTCACAGAAAAGAGCTGATTTCTCTCTCCCTAAGCTTTTGGATATGTACAAAATGAAGCAGGGCAAAGGCTAACAGTTTTGCCAAAAGAACACTGGTCATAGTAAAAACCCTCTGACAAGAACACCCGAGACGACTCTACCCATGGATATCAACAGATGTCAATACTGAAATTGGATTTACTATATCCTTTGCAGCCAAAGATAGAGAAACTCTATACAGTCAGGAGAAACAAGACTGGAGCTGACTGTGACTCAGATCATAAACTCCTTATTGCCAAATTCAGACATAAATTGAAGAAAGTAGGGAAAACCGCTAGACCATTCAGGTATAACCTAAATCAAATCCCTTTCGATTGTACAGTGCAAGTGACAAATAGATTCAAGGGATTAGATCTGATAGACAGTGCCTGAAGAACTATGGACAGAGGTTCATGATATTGTGCAGTAAGCGGTGATTGAGATCATCCCCAAGAAAAATGCACAAAGGCAAAATGTGTGTCTGAGGAGGCCTTACAAATAGCTGTGAAAAGAAGAGAAGCGAAAGGCAAAGGAGAAAAGGAAAGATAAACCCATCTGAATGCAGAGTTCGAAACAATAGCAAGGAGAGGTAAGATAAGAAAGCCTTTCTCAGTATCACTGCAAGGAAACAAGAAAGCAATAGAATGGGAAAGACTAGAGATCTTTTCAAGAAAATTAGAGATACCAAGGGAACATTTCATGCAAATATGGGCACAATAAAGGACAGAGGCAATATGGACCTAACAGAAGCAGAAGACATTAAGAAGAGGTGGTACGAATACACAGAAGAACTATACAAAAAAGGTCTTAATGACCCAGATAAGCATAATGATGCGATCACTTAACTAGAGCCAGACATTCTGGAGTGCAAAGTGAAGTGTGCCTTAGGAAGCATCACTATAAACAAAGCTAGTGGAGGTGATGGAATTCCAGCTGAGCTATTTCAGATGAGATCGGGCGCGTTCAGGGTGGTATGGCCGTAGACAGCTGAGCTATTTCAAATCCTAAAAGATGATGCTGTGAAAGTGCTCCACTCAATATGTCAGCAAATATGGAAAACTTAGCCGTGGCCACAGCACTGCCAAAGATCAGTTTTAATTCCAATCCCTAAGAAAAGCAATGCCAAGGAATGTTCAACCTACTGCACAATTTCATTCATCTCACATACTAGCAAAGTAATGCTCAAAATTCTCCAAGCTAGGCTTCAACAGCACATGAACCGAAAACTTCCAGATGTTCAAGCTGGATTTAGAAAAGGCAGAGGAACCAGAGATCAAATTGCTAACATCCACTGGATCATTGAAAAAGCAAGAGAATTCCAGAAAAACATCTACTTCGGCTTTATCGCCTACACTAAAGCCTTAGACTGTGTGGATCACAACAAATTGTGGAAAATTTTCAAAGAGATGGGGATACCAGACCACATTACCTGACTCTTGAGAAATCTGTATGCAGTTCAAGGAGCAACAGTTAGAACCAGACATGGAACAATGGACTGGGTTCCAAATTGGGAAAGGAGTATATTGTCAATATCCAGCATCAAGGCTGTATATTGTCACCCTGATTATTTAATTTCTATGCAGAGTACATCATGCAAAATCCCGGGCTGGATGAAGCAGAAGTTGAAATCAAGATTGCCAGGAGAAATATCAGTAAATTCAGATATGTAGATGACACCACCCTTATGGCAGAAAGCTAAGAGGAACTGAAAAACCTCTTGATGAAAGTGAAAAAGCTGATTAAAATTCAACATTCAAAAAGCAACGATCATGGCATCTGGTCCCAAGACTTTATGGCCAATAGATGAGGAAACAATGGAAACAGTGACAGAGTTTATTTCGGGGGCTACAGTACACTCGGGGACTACAGATTGTGACTGCAGCCATGAAATTCAAAGATGATTGCACCTTGGAAGAAAAGCTATAACAAACCTAGACAGCATATTATAAAGCAGAGACGTTACTTTGCCAACAAAGGTCCATCTAGTAAAAGCTATGGTTTTTGCAGTAGTCATGTATGGATGTGAGAGTTGGACCATAAAGAAGGCTGAGCACCGAAGAATTGATGATTTTGAACTGAGGTGTTGGAGAAGGCTCTTGAGAGTCCCTTGGACTGCAAGGAGATCCAAGCAGCCCATCCTAAAGGAAATCAGTCCTGAATATTCATTGGAAGGACTGATGCTGAAGATGAAGCTCTAGTGCCTTGGCCACCTGATGCAAAGAACTGACTCATTGGAAAAGACCCTGATGCTCAGAAAGATTGAAGGTTGGAGGAGAAGGGGATGACAGAGGATGAGATTGTTGGATGGCATCACCGACTCGATGGAGATGAGCTTGAGCAAGCTCTTGGTGTTGGTGATGGACAGGGAAGCCTGGCATGCTGCAGTCCATGGGGTCACAAAGAATCAGAGACAACTGAGTGACTGAACTGTACTGAAGCCTTTGTATTCTTTCCTCCACCTCCTGTTAGAGCTCTTCTGGCATCAAAACCTCTGAAATGCAGGTCAGCAGTAGGTCCAAGTATCAGTCAGCCACCCATGTGAACTGTGTGCTAGACTACACAGCAGCTGCATGTCCTAATACTGATGCTTTCAATCAGAACCCTCTAGTAAATAGACCTCTAACAGTTAATCCACTTCATCGATTAGCACAGCTCACCTACTGAATCGAACTTCCTGAGAAGCTCCTACCACAAATGTGCGAATAAAGTTAAGCTGGTAGATAGCAGTGAAGTCTGGAAAATATTTACTGATGTATGAGCTATTTCCTGAAGGGTCAGACTTTGTGCCTGTCCCTTCAATCATGCAGTAATCGGACCCCACTTATAGGACTCACGGCAATAGGAGGTGGTGGCAGAGGGTCTGGAGGACAGTCAGTGTCCCCTGGCAAGGCATCGGCACCAGGTGAGGTAATGACACAGTCCTCAAAGGACAGAACACCAGCCTCCCAGACACGGCCGGGCAAGCTACTTCCATCAGCAAGGGGGAGGCTCTGGGGGACTGGGGGCTTGCTGATTCTCAGCTTCCACCAAGGGCAGCCAGATATCCCGAGTCTCGGTTTCAAGGCCCCACTTGTCCATGCAGTGCCTGCCTTTTACCTAGGAAATGCAGAGAGGCTGGGAATTCAAGCGACCTGGGGATTCTGCAACTGACACGGTGGAATGCTGTGTTTGATTTCCAGTCCCGTCAGCCCAACAGGTACAGGGGAATTTGCAGGCTGCCATGGAAGAGCTGTGGCTGTCATCCTGTGACTTGAGCTGAGAGGTAAGGCAGGTGTCCTTGTCAGTTTCCTCCCAGGGACACTGCAGTGACTGCACAGCCCAGCTTTAGTCCCTGGCATTCCCTCCATGACAGTTCAGGGTAGCAGCTGCTCTGGCTCCTCGGGCACTTGCTGTCCTTGGCCCTTCACCCCATTCGAGTGCAGGGGGCAGCATGGTGACTGCTGAGACCCCCGCAGGTCACGGATGCCTCGAGCCCAGGTGGTCACTCAGGGATGGCTCGGAGGGCTGAAGGCACACAGTGAGTACAGGAAGCAGCTGTCACCCCAGACCCAGAAAAGGAGGGAAGGGGTTGATGTCATCAGAAGCCCGGAAGCCAGGATGAGGGGCCACAAAGACCGGCCCATCTCTCCTAAAGGTCACTGCCTTGTCATCTTCTGAGTCATCTACATGTGGTTTGCTTCATCAGCTCAGATTTTTATTTCAAAGACTGGTTTTGTGTCTAACATCTAAAGTTCTTTTTTCATTTTAAAATCCGCCTGGACTTTAAAAATTTGTCTTACCTTTTTGATTCCTTCTTGTGTATCTACTTTTTTATTTTTAATTGGAGGATAACTGCTTTACAATACTGCGTTGGTTTCTGTCATACATCAACATTGATCAGCCATAGGTATACATGTGTCCCCCTCCCTCTTGAACCTCCCTCCCACCTCCCACCATGTATGTCTCTTTTGGTGTGTCTCAGAAGCTAGTGAAGATTTGAGGAGTTGCAGTAGGCTTCATTCACAGGAATGCAGACAACTGGTAAATATCCATGAGAACTGCTCTCTGATCTCATGAGAATTCAAAGGTACTGTGTATTTCAAAGTCCCCCCTGATTAGGCACAAGAGTACAGGTGTTTCTCTTTCTTACCTCCTTCCTTTATAGACTGGTCCAAGGCCCGGGGATATTCACTGGGACTCACCTCCCGATGCCTTCAGGACAAGCTGATGTGTGATACCATTCCCCAGGAAGCTCCCTGGGAGCCAGATGGAGAGTGTAGACTGCAAAAGGGCTTCCCTGAGAGCTCAGTTGGTAAAGAATCCACCTGCAATGCATTAGACCTCGGTTTGATTCCTGGGTCAGGAAGATCCACTGGAAAAGGGATAGGCTACCGACTCCAGTATTCTTGGGCTTCCCTGGTGACTCAGCTGGTAAAGAATCCACCTGCAATCTGGGAGAGCCGGGTTTGATCCCTGGGTTGGGAAGATCGCTTGGTGAAAGGAAAGGTTACCCACCCAGTATTCTGGCCTGGAGAATTCCATGAACTGTGCAGTCCATGGGGTCGCAAAAACTCAGACACAACTGAGTGACTTTCACTTCACTTTACAGCCTGCAAAAGGAGGTCAGGCTTAGAGGCCAATGTCCCTATCCACCACTCCCTCCTGCTAGCTAGAGATTCAGAACAAACTGCTCAAGCCTTCCATGTCCTCATTTGCTCATCTGGAGAAGGGGGTGACATGCTACTGACTTCCTAGGGCCACCGCGAGGCTGGGATGGGTGAGTCCAGGCCTGTAGGAGACACTCCCAGCCCTTACTGAAAATTATATCATCTGGCTTCTGACAGTGATGCCCTGGGGACATAACAGGGCCACTCCTCTCTTTGAGGGACCTGCCAGCGTTCCATGAGGATGGGTGGTGTCTTCAACATGAGTTTGCAGACCAGTCTTTAGCCGGCCCTCTAGGAGTCCTGAGTGGGAAGCCAGAGGTGAGTCATCCCTTCTGGGAGCATGCGCTCTGCCAGGAGCCCGGCAGTACGACCACAGTGCCAGGGTCGGCGGGGAGTCTCCCTCAGCCAGTGGTTTGCTGAAGCCCCACTGTCTGTGGCAGGGGGATGGAAGACCCTGCTTGCAGATGATGGGGACCAGTCTTCTCCTGCTCACTCAGACCCGTGCTGGGATGGACCCAGTTCTTTTACAGCGTTGTCCTTCCTTCTCACTGTTGCAGGTGACTCTTCAAGAGCACTGGTTTTAGGTGGATTCTTGGTTCTTATTTGTGCTTTCCCCATGGATCTCGCTTTCTCACCCGCGGGCCACCTATGCATTTAAATAAATAATAAATAATGCATTAAAAAATACTCTCTTCTCAGTACACATTTCCTCATCTTTTCCCCAACTGAGCTGGCATCCCAGGAGGGCAGGGGCTGGGTGTCTGAGAGGCACTGGCCCCAGTCCTGGCCTACCTAGGCTGGGATCATATGACCCCCCACCACCACACACACACACACACACACAGTAGTGGGGCCTGCAGGACAGCAAGAATCAGCCAGCCTGGGTCCACGAAGCATTGGGTGTGGGAACTCGGAAAGTCTGCCTTGTGTCACATGACTGTCCTCACTTGAGGCAGAACAACTTTGTGCCCAAGATACACAATCCAGAAATCATCAATCCAGAGTTTAATAATTTGGTCGCATAAAACTGTGTAACTACTTGACAGCCAAAACCGGCCAGCCTAGTCTTTTGAGACAAGAGATGGAATTCCACAGTGGTCCAGTGGTTAAAACTCCATGCTTCTATGCAGGGGGCAGGCTCGGTTCAATTCTTGGTCTGCAAACTAAGATCTGGTATGCCATGCTGTGCAGCCAAAAAAGGAGAGAGATCCCTTTCTTCCGCTGCTGCTAAGGTGCTTGGTCCTTCCGAGAATCCAAGGCCATTTTGGGGTTAGGCCCTCACTTCATCTGGAGACTGGCACTGAGCCAGCAGCCCCACCAAGCACTCACCCGCACCATGGCCTCTGTCTCGGAGCATCCTTGCACCTACTCGGCCCTCATTCTGCCCAGTGAGGTGATGGTCACAGACGATAAGATCAGTGCCCTCGTTAAAGCAGCTGGTGTAAATATTGACAGTTTCTGGCCAGGCTTGTTTGTAAAGGCTTTGGCCAGTGTCAGCATCGGCAGCTTCACCTGCCATGTGGGGGCTGGTGGACCTGTCCCGACAGCAGGAGCTGCACCACCAGAAGGTCCTGCCCCCTCCACCACTGCTGCCCAATCTGAGGAGAAGAAAGTAGACACAAAGAAAAAAGAATCTGAAGACAGATGATGAGATGAGCTTTGCTCTTTTTGACTAAACCTCTGTAGTAACTTCCCTGGTGGCTCAGATGGTAAAGCATCTGCCTACAATGTGAGAGACCTAGGCTCGATCCATGGGTCGGGAAGATCCCCTAGAGAAGGTAATGGCAACCCTCTGCAGTACCCTTGCCTGGAAAATCCCATGGATGGAAGATCCTGGTAGGCTACAGTCGGTGGGTTTGCAAAGAGTTGGACACGATTGAGCGACTTCACTCACTTTAGTAACACATTCAATAAAAAGATGAGCTCTTTAGAGAGAGAGAGAGACTGAGAGAAAATCTCTGCAGTATATGGAACACAGGGCTAACAGCCCTGCTATATGCTGATCAGAGTCTTTTGGGGAGGCAACTGCTTAGTATCAGTGCACATGGTAAATGCCCATAGGTTTTGAACTGGCAGTTCCACTTAAAGATAATTATCTTAGCAGGAGATTTACACATCTTCAGAGCTGCTAACAAACAAATAAGAAAAAGAATGGAAAAGGTAACACTACATGAGTTGGGGATTTGTTATGTAAACCGTAGCACATGTGCTCCATCCAATACCTTGTGGCCAAAAATGAAATGAGCTATACTTTTGTGTACTGACATGGAAGAATTTTGCAGATACATTATTGCTAGTTAAAATCACACTGAATATACAGGATGTGTGTTTTTTTTAACCCGAGTGAAGAACTATGTAGGTGATCCCATAGAAAAATATAGTTAGAGGTGAGAAACAGAATTGTTAGCAGTGTTGCCTAAAACAATGTTTTGTAAAAATCTTCAATTATGTGCTTAAAAAATATCTGGGGTGGTAAGGAAAAATGGTCCAGCCACAGTGGAATGCAAATTGGCAGTTTCTTCCTAAGGACACAGCACTTGCACTGCTGGGCATTCATGCCAAAGAAGTGGAAAATTCTGACCACAGGAAAGCCTGGATACAAATGTTCAAAGCAGATTTTTTTCTAGAAACCTGAAAGTGGAAACGGGCAACATGTCCTTCAGTGGGTGAAGGCTCGAACAACTGTGGCTGACCCACACCAAGGAAGAAGCGTAGCAATACAAAGGGAAAACTGACTGCTGAAACCAACTAACTGTTGATTGAGATGGATGGATCTCAAGGGCAGTGTGTGATTGAACAAAGGCCCATCCTGGGTTTCAAACTGTGAGCACATGGCGAGGCACGCAGCATCTCAGCTCCCCAGCCAGAAATCGAACCCAGGCCACCGGCAGTGGGAGTGTGGTTTCCTAACCACTGGCGCACGCGCGCACACAGGCGCACACACACAGAACCCTGAGCAGCTTTCCGATGGTACCAATGCCACCTCCTGGTGTGAGGGCCCACTGGGTACGCAACAACACGCTGATGCTGGGGCAACAAGGGGAGGGGCATTTCCCTGTAACTTCTCGTGAACTTAACTCCTTCAGAATACAAGCTCACACCAAAGGCACACAGCAGGGCTTGGCGTGTACACATCGGATAACTCTGTGTGTGACTCTGCACGGACTGTCTGGATTTCCCCGCGGGAAAGTCCACGAGCCCACAGCACGCCCGCCTAAGGAGTGAGGAAAGAGTCCGATGGCCGAGCGGAGGGCGGAGCTCACGCGACCTGCTTGCTCTGATTGGGCCAAAAGGTGCCCGTCACAAAGAGGGACGGACTTGCTCTGCGCTGGAGGGCGGGTCTTCTCAGGAGTCGATCATGGTCATTGGCAGAGCCAGCCGGAAGAGGTGGGCAAGAAGGCGGTGCTCCACGACTTCCGGTGGGAGGGCTGAGGAGGGGAGTGAGAGGCGAAGGCCGCAGGGACGCTCAGGGCGGGGTTCGAAGGGCGGGGTTCGAAGCCCGGAGACAGCCCCTCGCTTCCTGTCCCCGCCCTCCATCTCCGCCCGCCCTCTGGGTCATGGGTGGGGCCAGAGCCCAGCAGTTAGCTGGGTTGTGCGCCATCTCCTGGGGAGAGGGAGAAGAGACGCCTCCCCGGAGCCCTGCTGCTGCTAAGTCGCTTTAGTCGTGTCCGACTCTGTGCGACCCCATTGACGGCAGCCCACCAGGCTCCCCCGTCGCTGGGATTCTTCAGGCAAGAACACAGGAGTGGGTTGCCATTTCCGTCTCCAATGCGTGAAAGTGAAGTCGCTCAGTCATGTCCGACTCTCAGCGACCCCATGGACTGCAGCCCACCAGAGCTCCTCCGTCCATGGGATTTTCCAGGCAAGAGTACTGGAGTGGGCTGCCAGGGCCCTGGAGACCTTGGGGATTCCGGCGGGGCCCCACCCCCCGCTCCCAACAGGACTCCCCCTGCTATACTGAGGGCGTCTGGCCCTCGAGATGGCCCGGGGACAGTGTATTGGGGCACCCAGGGACCGGGTGAGCGGGGACGGTGGGCTGCAACCCCACCAGGATGCTGCCAAAGAGCAGGGTCAGGGGGTCTCCGCTCGGCCCCGCCCTCCAGTCCTGGCATCTGAGGGCGGCCTTGGCCCGAGTTCCAGTTTCCTTCCACCCTCCCAGCGTCTAGAATCTGGCCGCCTCCAGCCGCCCCCACCCCTTGCCCGGCCCACACTGTTCCACCACCCGTGAGTGTGACTGGGACGATTCTCTGTGAAGCCCGGATCCTCCCCCTTCCCCCCTGCCCCACACGGAGTAACAAGGGAGAGGTGGGCAGAGCTGAGCCCAGTGCCCAGAAACGTGGAGACGGGCATGGGTGCCATTGCTTCTGGAGGTGGGGAGGGCCCAAAGTAACACAGTCTTCCCCCTGTCACTCGACAGGTGTGGCCCGCTGGGAGGGAACCTTGCCCAAGCACTCCTGTTCTCCAGGACCGCCTATGGTTGCAGCCCTCAGTGCCTACTGCCTGCCTCTCCCCTGGGAGGTCAAGGTGCGTGAGCCCCGCAGGGAGAGAAAGCCTATGGCTTCATTAGGAGTGGATGAGATCAGAAACCATCCATCCCGATGGCATCTGAGGGCGGCCTTGGCCCGCGTTCCTGATTCCTTCCACCCTCCCAGAGTCTAGAATTTGGCCCCCTCCATCCATCATGCTGGAAGGGGCGTGAGAACACCTGGAAGGCTCACTCAAAGCCGGCCGCAGGGCCCCGCCCTAGAGTCTCTGATCTTGCACATCTGGGGTGGGGCTTGAGCATTTGCGACTCCAACAAGCTGCCGGTCCAGAGACCCCACAGTGAGAAGCGCTGCTCTAGAGGCCCGAGACTCCTAGGTGTGTCCCCCCTGCCCTCCTCCCGGACTGGCTCTCTGCAGGGTCCCCACGGAGCTGGGAAAAGCCAGGAGGCTGGTGGCTCTCGCGAGATCTGGGGCTTCCCGTTGAGCAGTCGTCACCCTTCCCTGCCTGAAGCTGAAGGAGGGGACTGTCCACAGACCAGGCAAGATCAGGTGTCAGGTTTGTCGAGTTGCTCAACAGCTCCTCACTTGGGCTGATAACATCTGGACACGTAGGAGGGTGGGGCGAGATCAGATCCAGTGGCTGGGTGTGGGGATGGAGGAACTATCTGATGAGCAGAGGAAAAAGGCATGCATGTCGAGCTCAGGGATGGGAAAGGAACATCGGCCCTGAGACCAAGTGTGGGTCTAGGGGAGCATGGAGACCCGAAGGGCTTCCCAAGTGGTGCTAGTGGTAAAGAACTCACCTGCCAATGCAGGAGACGTGAGGAGATGCGGGTTCAATCCTTGAGTCGGGAAGACCCGTGGAGGAGGGCATGGCAACCCACTGCAAGATTCTTGCCTGGAGAATCCCATGGACACAGGAGCCTGGTGGGCTACAGTCCATGGGATTGCAAAGAGTCGAACATGACTGAAGTGACTTAGTACACATGCACAGAGACCAGAAAGGAGGTTGTCTGCCCAGGAACTGCCCTGATAGCTGTCTGGTCTGCAAGTGTGGTCAGCCTTCTCTTGCTGGTGGGAAGCCACTGCCTTTCCTGCCA